CACCGACAGTCAATTTTCAGGGCCTACCTGCACATCCCTGGTGCTTAATGCCAGATCCATTTGCAATATTTTTCAAAACATGATAAACAGAGGACAAAGGGATGCCTGTTCTACTTGAAATCACTTTAGCTGTCTGATGTCCTTGTTATAATACTCTAAAATCAACTTCCTCTTCTCTAAATCATCCATACTGAGGTTCACTGAAAATGTCGTCTGCTAGCAAGTAAACAAAGGGGGATAACTCTTCACAAACTAATAAAAAAGGATTAACGGAGCTTTCTCTCTTGAATGAAACCAAGCACTTGATAGCGGGTCAAGGTTGTTACTAGAAATCCAATTAAACATATTCCTAAAATTCTCAATAATTTCTTGTCATACTATTGGAGAAGTAACCAGAATGATCTATGATGTAATGGATTATACAGAAACTTACCAAAAAACCAGGCTTATTACTACTTATTGACTTTGAGAAAGCCATTGAGAAATTCATGCATAATGTCCTAGATTTTTTCAGCTTTGGGTCTGATTTTAAAAAATGGGTAAAGATACTTTTTGAAGATATTGAATCATGTGTTTTAGTAAATGGATATGCGAATTCCTTTTTCAAAGTTTCAAGGGTTTGTCGCCAAGGTGATCCAATATCATCACCATATATTTATACTGTGTGCAGAGATACTAGCAAATATGATCAGACGTAATGTAAATATACATGGTATACAAATGGGAAAAATTCTATCTCTTCTCGCTCAATTTGCAGATGATACTACACTAACTCTAGATGCGTTAGAAAAAAGCCTCTACGCAACAATGAACATTTATCTTCTTTTGCAAGATTTTCTGGATTAAAGATTAATGCTGAAAAATAAAAACTGATTTGGATTGGGTAAAAAAAAGAGAACAAGATATAATCTCTGTAAAGAGTGGAAAATGGACTGGTCACAGACTCAGTTCAACCTACTAGGTATAAAATTTGATGTTGATTTAGATAATATGACAGAACTGAATTACAACAAAAAGTTTGAGAAAATTGAAAAAGAAATGGCAGTGTGGATGAAAAGAACCCTAACAACCGGGGTAGAAATGTTGTATTGAAGTCAATACTACTTATGGTAATTTAATATTTTAGTTTGTGCAAAGACAACAGTACTTACTCATGCATTATTTTATTTGTCAAATACCTGGTACCGTTCTAATCAACACAATCCCCAATCCACTAGCGTACAAACTCATGCTTCTTTCGGTCTGTATCATGTTACAACAACTCTTCCCACTATTCCATCTCTGCGGACTACTCCGGGCAATCATTCCGGATTGGGGCGGCCACTACAGCAGCCACAGTTAACATTGAAGACCACCTAATCAAGACTATGGGAAGGTGGAATTCAGACTGTTTTACTAGGTATATCAGGACTTCAGAAGCCACCTTAAGGAACGCCCACAAGTCTATGTGTCGCATATAACAGTGCATGTAGCCAGGACAGTATCAGGTCCTCTATTGTCATAGCACAGACATGTTATTACACCGTAACTAAGACATTGCCATGTTGTCTTTTAGGATGTGTATATACATGTGTCATTTATCAGCACCATGTCCAACAAGGCTCACATACTCTACTATATGTATTATAGTCCTGGGGATGTTTCCCATATAGGCCTTAAATCTAGAGTTGGCTGCACCCCTACTCCTACTCTTGGTGTTTTCTTCTAGTTTGAACAATAAATTTATCAATTCAAAACATTGAATAAATTAATCTTTAAAAATGTGTGTTTTCTGTTGATGGTTGTCATGAAATTACCAAATATCAACAAAACATGCAATATGCCAAAAAATGATGAATTTATGACAAATGTTTCCTTAATATCATTTAGTTTATACCGGATATAACTAACAACAATTATGCACTTACAATAATGTTTGTAAGTGCACATGTGATAAATAAGCACATTTTTTATCTCTCATTTTAACTTTCACAGTGACATTGTTTGTTATATTATGACAACTTTTGCTTTTATACTATAATGCATGCATATTCTTATGTTGGTGTATTTAAACTCTATCACACAGAAAAAGAATTATCAAGATCCAGTAAGCCTGAAGAAACTAATTAACATTTCAATATCCCTACCCCTAACAACAGCAAATATGAGTGAACGGAATCTTGATTACATGACTGTTGGGTTGTGATTTCAAGATCTAAATGATGGAGCCTAAGATAAAACGACCTCGTACAGCTAGTACTGGCAAATGGAGTGAATGTTTATGCCATGGTTACTCACAAAATCTGGGAAAATTGGAAAAATTTACACCAACAATCGTGGAACACATTCTGTAGTGCTGCAAAATGTCGAAAAGACTCTGTTTACAGGAAGTTGAAGGAGTATATTGATGGTGAAATTGAGTTATACCCAAGGCTGTGACTGAGTTGGTGAAGCATCACAACTGTTATGCTACATACACCTTAGGCAAGAGTATTGAACTCTCTGAACAAAAACAACAGCAGACACAGAAACAAAGTGAAACAATCAAAGCTCAAGTTTTGTGCCTGATGTGACAATAACACCATTGACACGATCCAGTGTTTCTCAATCAGATATCTTGAAGTGTATCATTTGCCAGAAGGACAAACGTCTGTGTAGAGACTGGCGCAAATTAGAAGCTGCCAGCCCAATGACTTTGTACTCAGTTGTTGAAACATTTAGGCAAGCTGCAACAATTAGAAATGATCAGAGGGTACTCATGCAGCTGTCAGGAGGTGCAACCGATAGTATTGCTGGTGATGTACTTGTGCATAGATCATGTCGTAGTTCGTACACCCACAGTAAAAGTCTTACCTTTGTCCAAGAAAACACATCCACAGACAATGCCTATGATGAGGCATTCAAACGTCTTTGAATCATTGATGGATGTGAAGTTTGTAAGATGTCTGATGTCAGCGATAGATTTATTGAAATTCTTCAAATTACAGCCAAATTACAGGTCAGAAAAACTGAAGAAACGTATCATAAAGACATTTGAAAAGACAATTTCTTTCTGGCATCCAAAGTTTCGAAGTGAATGTGAGATGTTTTCTGATATTGTCCCAAAAGGCATGTATATTGAAGCAGGGCCTCAAATGTCAGAGATTTGCAAGAGCAAGATATGGAAGATTTTGATGATGTTGGACTACATCTTGATGAGAAAGCTGAACAAGTGCATGAGGAATGCTTAGTATCACAGATGGTTCACCATGAGGTACAAACAGTGACAGACATGCCTTGGCCACCATCACCGCAGGACATTTCAGAGGAGTCACTAAGCAGTGTGGTTCCTGTGATTACGTTTGTGTGAAAACGAAACACTGAATATGAAATATCAGTCTAAAGTTCTGGAGACAGTAGAGAGGCAAATTCTTGCAATTGCACAAGACATAGTGTATTGCAGCCGTAAAGGTAGAATACGTACTCCAAAGCATGTAACATTGGCTGCTTCAGTGCATCATCTCACAGGTAGTATGGAACTAGTGTCTACATTAAACCGCTTCGGACAATATATTTCAAAATCAAAGCTCCAAGAAGTTGAAAGCACTCTAGCAGAAATGAGCCTACAAAATCAAAGGGCTGCAGTGGTGCCGGTAAACATTCTTCAAATGTTCCAGTATGTTTAGCTTGGGATAACAATGACATCCAGGAACAGACTCCCTCTGGCAAGAACACGACTCATTGCACCACTGGAATGGTTATACAGCCTAGAGTATCAACTTGTGCTCTCCCACAAAGAGAGGCAGACACTGCTCCAACTCGCAGAAGATCAGTGTAGCCAATTGTCGACCAGTTGATTGAAGAGTATACATATGGCAACAAACGTGTTGGACCTGAACGAATTCAGAGGGCAGTGGAACAGGTTCGCGCAGCTTGGAAGGTTGTTCGGATTATAAGGTCGTGAGCAGGAGTAGTCTAATCAAAACAAATAGTAAATAATCTACTCATTACATAATAGAACCTTGTTAAGATCTAGATCTACTCAGCTTTGTGTCAACCAGTGAGGAGTTCGACATTTCAAGACGGAAAACCTTCGCTGGCGGTGAATACTCGGTGAAGGCTTTAGTGTGAGCTATTTTTCTAATGTTTTGTTGATATTTCACACGCGCGAGCTTTTTATATGTTATGACAGTAGATTACCGATTTAACTGTTTATATTATTTCATTTGTCTATTTCACCACACGTTCTTCTTACCGAGTCACTTTCTCAGTTCGATACTTAAAAGCAATGTCATTATTTAGCGTTGACAGAATATCTAACTGTGATATAGATATGTCGTTGTCACAGACAAAACTCAGTGTCTGTTTTATTGACACCTATGTGTCTGCCTGCCTGTCTGCTAATGACAATATTCAATACACAACTCCGATCACTGACCACATGCAATTTGAACTTAACACCTATCAGGCTATACACCATAAACAAAACGCATTGATTTATGGCCCGAGTTCGGTCTCTGTCACATTATGTAATTACACAGACATGCAGGTGTGATACTTGTACACATGACATGTTATGATGTCTGTTGATTGCAAAATGTTATACACAAAAAATGAGCATGTATTTACAAAACCCAACATCTCTATATATACACACACAATGAGCCGTGAAGGCATCTGCAAATGAACCAGCCGTTACACTTGAGTGCACACCCACCCGCTCTGACTGGGTTCAGTATCCCGGCTGCTTCGTTTCTAGGGAAGTAAACCCAAGTACAAAATATTGCACTCTTGATTTGCGATTGTACTCTTATAATTTTGTTTATATGGTTTTTCATAATCAGCAATGTATATCATATGTCATGAATAAGTGATAATTGTGTTTTAATTATGTTTGATTTTTTGGTTGCATGTGACCTTTAATATTGTTTGGAGCCTCTTAATGTCCAGCTCCAGACAACAATAACTATCATCATGGTGATGTACACGTACAGTGGGGGTGCAGACCACAAACATTTGCAGTATATAGTCATGAGACTCACCAAATGGAGCCACAGAGAACTTGCTGACAGCATGACTTGCCACTCTCTGAACTTGTACATTAGTTGATGTGAGCAGCTGGACAAGAGGAACAGCCATTTCTGCCTCGAGTGGTCCACACACTGAAGATTAAGAACAAATAGTGGAAGACATACTACGCCTTGGAAAAGACTTTTCTCAATGATAAATTTCATCTATCATCTCAACAAATGATGCAATATGCTATACACTCTGTTATACATTCCACAAAGAATACACAAGTTTGGGAAATACATGTCTGTAGTAATACATCTTGCTAATCTAAAGTTGGACATTTCCTTTCAAAATAAAACTCATATTTCACAGAGCTCTACCTTATTAAGACAGTGACTTGCATAAACAGCCTAATTTCATTCTTTCTGGTTTGAGAAAATGTGTTTAATGCAACGGGACTTCAAAACACATAGCCTCTACATGGCTTAATGAGAAAGTTAATTATATGATTTTTCCTGTATAATGACATTAGTTCAATTTCATTATATCTTATAAACTTCTGTTTTTTTCAATAAAGAGCTCATGAGGCCTTTTAACAATGTTAAGGACACAGTGAAGGGGATTATGTTGACATTATGCACTATGACATCTAGCACATTCCTTCTCCCGTTCTCATATAGCTTCTCGTCCGGAGATAATCCAATATTTGTCTAACACTGCAGCCAATGTCTGGTTTGTGCCCAGAACATGTTTACTGTCCTTGTGATACCGTGTTATAATGAGCTTTATCACCCAGCTTTTGCAAGGCAGAATTATGGGAAATCTTGCTCCAAGTGGCAAACATTCAGCATCACCTAGGCATCCACTTAATCTCATGACTCCATTTTCATCTCGTGGCTGAAGTGTAAGGAGTTTAGAACTGGAAGACATCTTTCCAGATAACAAAGCTGCATATTCAGCAAATGACTCCTCCTGTGCATGGGCAATGATTCTGTGTTCAGAACAGTTGCGCCAATGGAGAAGGTTCCGCCTCCACGACACGTGCAATCAAATCCAAACACTTTATTGTCGAAGCCAAGGCGACACACAGACAAACCGAAGAACCGAACATAAAACTGGGAAAGCGAGTTTATGTTTAAGGGAGATAACTCTAAGAGTCATTGTGTTAACTCGCTAATAACTAACTGCCAACTGGCGTAACTTCTCCTTCTTTCGTCTTATAAAAAAAATTATGGATGGGATCCACACATGTTTGCATATGAAAGGGGAATACCAAATACAACGGGCCTATGTGGTAGAATATGATCACTAAAGTTAATAACAGTAAACAAATGGTAAATTGTCGTTTAGACTCTTTGGAACAAATATGTCCTGTAGAGGTGGATTATAACACTGACAAACTGAAAAGGAAATGAGAGACCATCACTGAGTAGACTGCCCTCCAGTCTCGGGGATTATTCTGCCCCATCACATTGCATACAAGCAACTGATATATGTAACACAGTATCACCATAGGATGCTCACACACATTACTCTAGTAAAGGATATAGTCTGAGAGGTGGCATGGCATCTGACGATTGCGACTGGACCGACGCAACTTTGGAGACATAGAAGGTTCTGATTGATCGATAGGGGAGTCTGTTGAAGTATCTTCTGGATAGTCAGTGTTACTAGTAGTGCGATACAGGTATGAATTCATGTCAGCATAATAGGGGTCAGCTCTCTCTGCAGGTGTAGGGGGCTCCATGATGACATCTGGTATAGGAGGAGGTTGAGGAGGAGGAGGTAGAGACTTTGGGAATCTGTCATGTTCATCTCCCACTGGCAGATATTGAAGATCAGCCGACAAAGTGGATGCTTGTTGCAGTGAAGGTTTTGTAACAGAGTAACACTCTGACTTTTTCACTCTATAGGAAGTGTTTCGAAGTTGTGATCCGGTGAATTTACGAACGTTGCACCAGTCATTGTCAACTGCTGTGACAATGTAACGATCACGGGGCACGGGACTTGGAGCCATCGCTGTGAATGTAGACTATGCTTCCTACATCAATGTCAGGTGTCAGACCCTGCTTGAGGGTGGGAGTCTTAGACTTCTCACTTGATAAATGATTGGACATACGTTGGCCATGTTGACTAAGAATTAGATCCAAGTCATGTATAGGCAACTGAGAGTTTGTGTGCTGGTCGCGTTGTGTCCACATTTCCCTGGCGGAGAAACCTCTGGTTCTGATCCGTGAGTTCAGACGTGCAGTGGCAAGAGAAAGGTTGAGGGGCGAGACGTAACTGCACTGAGGGTCTTGACGCAGTAACTCAGTTATGAGTTCTTGAACAGCTCTTTCTGCAACTGGGTTCTTATTCTTGTTCTTGACTACAAGGGCTACAAAACCGGGAGCTGGATCAGTTCGAATGACAGCAGGCGGTCCATCCATTGGGTGAACTTCATTGCACAAAGCAATAATTGAGCTGCAGAGTGTGTCGTGACGCTCGTCATCGAGTAGACAGGACAGTGTAAGAGATGTGACACATTCCCGGACTACAAGTATGAATTGCCGGTTGCGGCGAACAACGTCCGCTGCGAAACTGATTCCAATAGTATCAGGCGGGTCTCCAGTGGACTGTTGGATCACTGTATGTGGTAAACTGCGAAGTGATTGACATCTATGGCAACTGGCAGTGGTGTCTTCAATAGTCTTGTCAAGATCCAAGGCATAGAAGTAGCGCTGTATGACCTGTTTCATCTGGTGATTGGTCGGATGATTGAGTTGAATGTGCAGGGCAGTCAGTAATCCGCTGACAATTTCACAGCGGTACAATGATCCGTTCTCTGTTAGGCGTGAAAGGCTCCTCCTTGACAACAACAAGTAAGCCGCCCCAGCGCAATGGAAGCAACCTGTAGGTAACGTTTAACGGCCCTGATGTTAGTCAACTTCTTGGGCCGGACGTGTACCTTGAGTGAGATGGGCATGTGTGCGTCGAAGATCACTGCACTCTGACTGGATGGATTTCCAGGCAGCTCTGCTTGTGAATGGTAATCTTGACTCTCCAGTGATAAAGTCCTGAATGGAAGTGATACGGACAACCGAATCTTCCGCACGAGCCCGCGAAAAGCAAATTTGACAAGTAGGTTCATGGCAATCTGGGGCATTTCTGCTCGCAAAAACCGAAGAGCAGGTTTGCGGCACCTGCAAGGTGACGAATAGATGCTTGATGGTGGCTCACAATGGAGAGGAATGTGTACACTCGTGGACTGGCAGAAAATTCTCCCCTGCACAATTTCTCAAAGGCTTGCACACAAGGCTTACTGTCAGTGAGAACACAAGTCTTATGCTTTGACTGGATCATGTAAGGGCTGAAGTGTTTGACACCTAAAGCGATGGAAAGTGCTTCTATTTCACATGGTAACCACTTCACTTGATGACCTCGGAGCTTGGAGCTGAAGAAACTAGCAAGGAGAGGCTTGTTGTTTCGAGTAACATAGAGGGTAGCACCAACACCCTGTCTCTTAACTGAACCATCGGTGACAACCCATAACTGGTCACCAGTACGTGGAAGAGTGAGTACACGACAAGTTGAGAGAGCCCTCTGAGAATCCCTGAACAGTTGGATGAGATCTTCAGTCCAATGTATTCGATCAGTTGACTGCTTTCCGGCAATAGCATCATCAAGGGGTGCCAGGATAGATGAGCAGTTGGGAATAACTCGTGCCAGCACTTTGTATGTCCCTACATAGGACCGGAGTCCTTTCACTTTCTCAGGAGGAGCACAAGCAGACAATGTAGAGATCCGGTGAGGGCTTGCAGAGATCGTACCGTTTCTCCAGATTCAACCGAGGATGGTTGTGGATGTGGGTGCAATAATGGTCTTTGATGCAGAGAGATTGAGACTGTTCTTGTGAAGAGTCTCCAGTAGACGTTTCCAGTTGCTGTATAGATCATCAAGCGAATTACCACCACAATACAGGTCATCAGCAAGTTTTACTACCACCCCTTCTTCAAGTAGGTCGCCAAGTACACGGCACATCAACTCCTCCAACGCAGTCTCGGATCCAGGCATGCCCATTGCAGATCTTGCATACATCCGTACACCTCTGAAAGGGGTTGCTACACCACAGAACTTCATGGAGTCAAGAGCTAAAGGTATCTGGTAGAAGGCATTGGTGAGATCCGTGGAAATGAGGAATCGCCACTGAGCAATCTGTCGTAGAGAGTGGAATCAACATCCGGGAGAAGTGATGGTTGGGGCTTTGAATATCGTCCGACATCTGCGAAAGCTGTAACTAAGCGAAAGCAGCCCTGAGGTTTCTTCACAAGAAAGGATGGGTTAAGGTACTCAGCAGTTACCCCAACATCTTCGGTCGAACAAACACTCCTTTAGCTTCAAGATCGTTGAACTTGGCTTGCAACTCTTCAAGTTTATCTCTGGCATACTGGGGTACTCTACCTTTCCTTTGAGGAGGCAACACAGGGCCCATGTTGACTGCAGCATATACAGGACCAGAAGCTCCATTATAACCTTTGAAGTTGGGATCAAAGACATCGTCATACTCATCAAGTAAGGTTCTGAACTTCTGCAGCGTATCTGGGGGTAGGGCATGATCCGGATCCAGCTTAACAGCTTGAGAGAAACCACTTTGCTGCTTCTTCTGGAGCGACACATTTTGGCTAGTGATGACAGAGTCTGTGGGTTGTACTTTGTCGGGGCATCTACGACATGTCTCACCTGGCAGAAGTGTGCATGTTTCAATGACAAAGGCCCATCCGCCAGGTTTCGGGATGCGTATCCATCCGCAGACACTGGGAACGATGTCAACCTCTGGCCAGTTTTGTTTCCCGATGGGAGAGTTTTCAACCCTAGGTTCCAGGGCGAGATGGTCATCATGTGTAGTGAACTCGGTGGAACTTCCAGCTCGATGTAGTCTCCTGGCCAAATAGTGGTGGGACTGTTCGCAGCTCTGAGGACTTGAGCGCCTAACGGTGTGTTGATCAAGCTTTGACTCCTTCCCTGAATGGCTGTAATCTCACGATGACACGTTCACCTCGAAGATTTGTCGCCTAGCGGGTCTGGCATAAACATCATTCAATTCCATAAAGGGAATGCCTGCTAAAATGTCGACATCCAAATCCTCAACAACAAGACCCTCGAATGTGAA